GATCCATTTTCCCTTGCAGGGCAGCTGTCTTCGAATCCAGGGACCCCCAAGGAGGCTCACATGTTAGTTTAGGCACCTGTGTATAATTGCAGATTCGGGGAGGGGGGGCGCACCAGAGTTGCCCCCTTCTCTCTTTTTTTTAATGATGCCCTTCCCTCTGGGCGGCCCTCCGGGACCCCGGTGATGGCTGCCCAGGGGTCCGGGCCCCAGACCCTCTCAGCCCCACGGGCTCCCTCTGGCTGCTCTCAAGGAGACCCTCTCCCGGTAGGAGGCAAAGAGTGAGGGTTCAGCACCCTGGCCAACGGCTGCGCTCCAGCCCCCCCTGCCCACCCCTGGCTTAAAAGAAAAGGCACCCCGAGGAGGGCCGCGGCCAGCAGCATCTCCTAAGGCAGGAGGGGAAAGGCGAGGAGAGTGGCTTCATTATTTTCTGCATCACAGAAAGCACCAGCACCTTCAGCTCCTGCAGCAACTGACCCACAGAGCTGATAGACTGTGCTTGAACATGGCAGCTCCATTCCCTTTGGCTGCCATGCCCAGGAGCCTCCCTTTCGGCTTCACTTTGTCTGACCCTCCCTTAAAGCAGCATAAGATTCTCCAGTTCTTAGCCCTGGTCCAAGACATTTTTCTGCCTGAGGCCAAAAAGATGGTGACACCCCCCTCCCCACTCAATTCGCTCAAGGAGACGGGGGGGGGAGGCTGGCAGGTGACTCTCAGTGTGCCACGGGCAAGGGGGCAGCATCCTGCACCATGCCTGGACGGAGTGGGCGAGTTTGAGGATTCTGGATCAGCCGCCCAGCTCTCGGCTCTCCCCTCCACTCAAAGACAGGAAAGTTGTTCCCACCCACCCCCCAGGGCATCCCTAAATGTCATCCCCAATGTTTGTAAGCCTTGCCCTGCCTTTGGGTGCTTCCCCCCCCCCAAGCAAAGCAGTAGCCTTATAGGTCAATAAAAGCAGCAGAGATGTCACTGAGTCACGGGCCTCCCTTCTCCATGTTAATCTGTTCCTGCATGAGTGGCAAAAATAAAACGAGCCCCACGGAAGCTTTAAAACGGATTTATCCCAGAGTTGCACCTTTGTGGGTTACTGTCTGCTTCCTCTGACCAGCAGAGGGGACTATTCAGCCACTCGAGTGAAGAAGGCAGGTCCAGGCGCAGAACACGAAATCTCAGAGTGGCTACAGTATAACTGGACACAAATAAGGAACGGTTTGTATACAGGGATCTGTAGGCTTGCGTATAAACCTGGGCGTGAGTGTTTCACTTCTGCGGAAACAGGTTATCTGGCAGGAAAGCAAATGCTACAATAGATCTGATAAGTCTTTAAAGTGTCAAGTCAGTTTGCTTTTATTTTAGTTTTGTTTGGGTTCTGCATAGTATCCCTTTGTCCACAGAGAAAACTCACCAAGCCTGCTTCTCCTGAGCTGAAACCTGATATGATCAGCGCTCTGGTTCTCAGTTGGCAGCATCCGCCTTGCAAAAGTCATCTCCTTAAAGCTTGAGCCTTGGGCAAGGGTCCTTGGGAGGGGGGGATTTTTCTAACCCTCTGCCCCCTTCCTCATGCTCTACAAGGCCCAGCGAGTGGTGAAGACGTCTGGGAGTTGTAGTCCAAGAACGTCTGGGGACTCAAAGGTTGGGACCCACTCGGGAGGCCCTGAGGTTGCAGTCTAGCTGGAGCAAGGAAGGGTGGTGAGCTCTGAAGAGATGGAGAGAAAGAGCAGTGGGTGCAGGAAGGACATAAACAGCCAGCCGTGTATATAAGGGGGTGAAGGAAAGGATCCAAAATTCTGTTCCAAACTGCGCAGGCAAATATGTTAGCTAATCCATTTGCAAGGTTGCTTGAACCCAACTCATTAGCACTCGGATCTCTCTGGAGTAAAAGATGGGAGCATTCTAATCTTATTGATCTTACTATTTGTATCACTTTTCCATCTCCAAAATTATTTTCAGTGCTTATATTTAAAGGACTCACCCAGTCTCTCCACTTTCCTTGTTAGGGCGTTGATGGTTCCATCTTTGCTGGGGTCAGGAGGTCATGGGACAGCAAGCAACCTAAACTTCAAACCCCCCCCCCTCGGTCTGTTTACAGTCAGATCAGGCAAGACAGATCTTTTTTTCCAGCCATGGAAAGAGGAAGCCAACGGGTGGACATGAATTGCCTCTTTCCCAAAAGCGTGCTCGAAAGGACTGCTCATAAAATGCAGATCATAACAGAAAAGGGTCCCAGCCAAACAGGATACAGGCAGGGGTTGAGCAAGCATCAGGCTTATAATAGCATGCCTGAATCATAACAGTTTTGTGTTGAGGGAACCTCAGTTGTTCCGCTTGTCGCCACATTGTGCCCGTCCCCCAGGCGATGCCCGTCTGCTGCCCTTCAGGAAGGCAAAGGGCAGAGAAGCTTCTGCAGAATATTTAACACAGGGATCTCACTGAAGGATGTTGTCACAGTCCAAGAGATCCCAGGCAGCCTCTCACCAGGTTTCCAGGTAAGCCTCCTGAGACCCTTCAGGAAGGCAAAGGGCAGAGAAGCTGCCACAGAATATTTAACACAGGGATCTCACTAAAGGATGTTGTCACAGTCCAAGAGATCCAGGCAGCCTCTCACCAGGGTTCCAGGTGAGCCTCAGGAGTGGCCCAGCAGCTGCTACCCAGGCCAGGGCCTGAGCCTGCAAACACCCAGCCCTTCCTGGGTCAGGCTGGCCCCGATCCTGCAGCTGCCTGGGCGGTGTGGGCCAGATCCTGACAGACATCTCCAGCGTCTTTAGCAACCAGAGTATTCACAAGAATTCAGGGTTTTCATTGAGGGAATGAAGATCTCAAGTCTCCTTCGCCACTCGCACCAGCTCGGCATTTTCCATATAAGGTATTGGTGGTTTTGGCTCCCCTTTCCAAGCTTTTCATAGTGCCATGTGACTCATGACCTATTTATGTCAACATTCTTTAACCCCACAAAAGGAGGGTTTCCGAATAAGGGATCTCTGGTGGCTGCCATGCCATCCGACGAAGGCCTTTGGACCTTTTGCAGAGTCCCATGGTTGCCCTGAAATTGCAAACATAGCCCAGATTTGCTTAATGTTTCACCACTTGATGAAATAACAGTGCACAGCCTAATGTTTACCATCGGGAAGGGGGGGAATCAAAAGTTGGACAACACTTTTTATTGGCATCACTAAAATAAGTGGAGGAAGGTTTTCAGCTCTCCGGCACATTTACTCCAGCACCGTTGGACAAAAATTTGGAAATTTTTGATCCAAAACCTAGGTTGGTGTATTGGCCCTTGGGTGTCTCTGTACCTACTAGAGGAAGACAATCTTTTCTGAAAACAGAAGGCATTAAACTACTAGATGGAGGAGGAATTATCTCTGGTCTAAAAAAAATTATAGGTTGCTTCTTTTAATTTGGTGCCTTCTTACTGCAAGTTTTACTAGAAACTGAAAAATGGCTCTCTTTCAAACAGGTCAAGGGAGGGGCTCAAATATTGCCTCGCCTCTGCAACCTTATTCTCTTTAGGAGGCTGTCCTCTGCTGGATGAAGGGAATAAGGCCAGCCTCATAATCTCAAACCAGCTCAAGAGAAACAACCTTTGGGCAGAAAGTGTTGCAGAATAAACAGCCCCCTGCATCCATGTCTTAAGGAACTGTAAGTTGGGCCTGAGTCGTCTTCTCCTTCCCTAGGAACTCTCCTTGTGGCCAGGCACTCAAGTGCTTTAGGAGGCTGTCCTCTGCTGGATGAAGGGAATAAGGCCAGCCTCATAATCTCAAACCAGCTCAAGAGAAACAACCTTTGGGCAGAAAGTGTTGCAGAATAAACAGCCCCCTGCATCCATGTCTTAAGGAACTGTAAGTTGGGCCTGAGTCGTCTTCTCCTTCCCTAGGAGCTCTCTTTGTGGCCAGGCACTCAAGTATCACGAAAAGCATTTCCAGGAGGCCAAACAGGATGACACCATCATCAAGAAGTGCAAAGTTATTTGCATATTTATTAGGCTTTACCTCTCCTTTCATTCCCAATGCTCTGAGCAACTTGATGGATCCTAAAACAGGAAGTGTCCCAAGAAAGGCAATTTGGAACTCCTTTTTTTAAAAGTTCATCTTTCCACTGTGCATTGCTCTTCCTCCATGAGTTTGAAAAAATACACCCTAGCCAGAATCCTCTTAGTTGTGTCCACCAACATAACCCCACTGGTGTAATTTTAAGAAAGAGGGACACCACTAGTGAGAAAATCTATTGCACATCCATCACACGACACAACAGCAACCCCTTGTGTTGCCTTCTTGGGTTGTTGCAATTTGATGCTGGAAGTTACACCGAAGGAGTACGCTGACATAAATATTCAGTAGGATCCTGCCCAGAGGGTTAATTTTTGTCCTTCAAATGACCCTGCAAGACAATAGGATTCGTGGTTTTGTTTTCCAGTCACAGTAAGAACATGATCACTAATTTTAGACAAATGAACAGTATGATTTCATCTCTTCTCTTCCACAAACATTTTAAGGTAGTTCAGAAATCACCCCAGACTCAGGCAGCCTATGTTCCATTTGAACATACAGTTTACGGACAGCATCATCAACAACAGCTAATAACAGGGTCCCGCAAATCATACCCAAACATAATCCATTTTATATTCTTGGGATGTCTTTTGTGCGCATTCCCCCAAAAAATGAGATCCCAGTGAAAAATATTGGGAATCTTCCTGCCTCTCCATGAAACATCGATATGGCCAGTTTGCATTTATGTAACTTTAAAATACCATCCTACTTTAATATTTTATAACTTATATACATCAAAATAAACTTCCTTTTTAAAAAAAGTTGAGATCAACGGTTGAGTTCTCTGGCTATAGAACCAGAGGTTGGGGATTTGATTCCCCAATGGGCCTCCAGGACAGGAGCTTGACCTGATGATCCATAGGGTTACTTCTCACTCTGCAGTTCTAAGATTATGGTGATGATGATGAGCATGAGTGAGCCTCTCCACTCAGATTTGAACCTGACTTTCCTCACTTCCAAGCCTCAACAGCTTGAGAGCCAGTCTCCTCGAGATTCATCTACTAGGAGCTTGTCTGTCCTAGTTCCAAGGCGGGAGAGAAAGAGAGATTGTAAAAGAGAGCCCAGCTAAAACATAACTGCTTGTGGAAAACATGAGGTTTTTCTTTTTCCACTACAACTCCCAGGATCCCCCTAGTCAGCATGGCCAAGCTTTGCAAAGCGGTTGCAAGTTGTGCTTCCTTGCTCAAAGCCCTGCAAGCAACTCAGGTGCGCATTTGCGATAGAGAAAATCCCTGTTTTTTGCTCCGAAGACCACACTGACAGTCATTTGCACATGTGGGAAGGGGCCACAGATGCAGTCTTCTGCTCCAAATTTTTGTCTCTTCTTTCCAAAAGGAAGGGATATGTATAAATAGTGACACTTTCCTCCCCCATCATTACTGAACAGGGTCCACGATCATCTTCCCAGAACTAGAAACAGGATGATTTGGTGTGATTGCAACAGAATTGTCCTCGAGAGAACTGTTACTAAGAGCAAATTAGGAGGTGGAAGAGGACAGTTGTGTGTGCGCTGTTTAGCACAGGCCTGAATAAAAACAGTTGTGAAAGGAGGAATCCGTCCTCTTCCACCACCCTAACTCCCTCCTCTCTTCCCCCCCCCCATTTCTATTGCACAACGTTGTGGTGCTGCTGGGCTCTGCTAAAGAGATTGTGTGACGTGAACCCTGCCTTCTCTGGGAGCCCCCTTTGGCCTTTCGGGAGGAAGCAGGAACAAAGGACAGAATATGCTGTCCAAAGCCCATCTGGTTCCTTGCTGTGAATCCTCCCGCCAGAGAACTGTTCCCGAGGAAAAGGACATGGATTACGGAGCCAGAGAGGGAAGGATCAAGGCAGCATCCCTGTCAGTTTTCTATTTTAGAGGCTAGCTTTGTTTTCCAACATTCAGAAGCCCTGGGCTTGGATTAAGGCCACGGAACATCCTGTTTTCCCCCCTCAAGCCCTCGCCTCTCCTCCTGCCGCTTCTTTCTTGCAAGTCTCCCACAACACCCTCCGACAAAACTCTTAAGGTAGGAGTCAACCCCACACTGCTTACAGAGGAGAATGTCTAGCTTGGCATGGACCGTAGGCAGCTGATTGCCGGGGTGAGCAGGAAGGGAGCTGCTCCAGATGTGGGGGGGGGCTGTTCTCCAAGTGTTCCTCTTTAATCCCATTTCTGTTTCCCCAGAGCCGAACAGACTGGGTCCCTTCCTCATTTACTTCTCGGTTAGAACTGCAGGTAAGAAATGTGCTGTCTTGTCCAAGGGCTTGCTAACCATCGATACAATTTTCTTTTTATCCGGGGATAAACTTTTCGGAAACCACAACAGCTTTTCTTCAGCTGCTTCTAAAGTTAGGTGTCAAGTGGGAAAATCTGCAGTGGCAAATTGTCCTGGACGGTGAGCTGTGCCCAGTTGTTATACAGTATATATATTTTTCAACGTATCTTTCCATTCCTATGTTCTTTTAGCAACAGCAGTGGTGTCTGCACAGCGCCATTAATAACACGAGTGCTTTCCAGTCCTTCTGTTAGAATAACACAAGTTGTGAAGCCTTTGCTCAAAGCATCGCATCCTTCCCTGGTTCTATAACTAAGTCTGATGACAAGCCAGGCAGGAAGTTATAATATTTATTTTTACACACACGTGTATGTGTTTATACTATCTCATTTTAGCACTTTTTTTTTTCTCAGAGGATTCAGGCAATGTATTCTAAATGGCATTTTGTTTTGTTAAAAAATGCAACACTTCTCCCTATAATGCGGGGCTGGGTGTTCAAAGCTGGGGGGGAAAGGTATGAAATAATGCTATTGGATCAAGATGATGGGTTTGAATGATGGGAAGAGTTCTGTTTGTGAAAACACTGACTCAGGAGAGGTTCAGCTGGAAGGAGACGAAACAAGTTCACATCAGAGAGGTCGCCTGATGGGTTTCTCATTCTGATGTTCTACTACGAGGGTGGGGATAGAAATGGACACGAACCAGTTCATCCAGTTCATAAAGGGGGCAGCACAGGTGCTGCTGCTCCCACCCCTCGCCTCCCCTGGCCCAATCAGCCCCTCACCAGGCCCAGCCTCCAGGATTGCCAACCAATCTCCCAGTCCTGGCAAGAGCTCAGGTCATTCCTGGCAACATTCTGATGTTCTACTACGAGGGTGGGGAGAGAAATGGGCATGAGCCAGTTCATAAAGTTTCACCAGCCCCAGCCTCCAGGATTGCCAACTGATCTCCCAGTCCTGGCAAGAGCTCAGGCTTCTCTGCCCCGCCCCCTTGGCTGAGCTGCCACTCAAGGCAAAAGGGCAGGGCAGAGAAGTCTGTGCTCTTGCTCATGACCGGGAGATTAGCTGAGGAGGTGGAAAAAGCAAGTGAGTAGGGCCTGGTGAGGGGCTGTTTGAGCCCAAGGAGGTGGGGCAGGGAGCAGCAGCATGCACACTGCAGCCTTTGTGAACCGGGACAAACTGGGATGAACTGGTTTGTGCCCATCTCTATTGGGGGACCTTCCCACCATCTGACCTTCTGTCAGAGAGAGGGAGGGAGGGAGGGAGAGAGAGAGACGGGACGGGACAGGACAGGACAGGAGTCAACCCTGAGAGCGTCCACCCTGGCAAGGAAGAAGGAAGTGAAACCAGCCAGGCAAATCCAGCACATGGTTCTTAGCCTCCGCATGGTTGCGCCTTGTTCTTCCACCAAACCTTGGCCAACGTCTGTGGTCCTGTACTTGGGCTACTCCTACTGAAATGGCTGGACTGATCATTGATTCGCAACAACTGGCTGTTCTTTCCCTTTTTGGCAGGCGATCGCAAGACCGCTCAGCCGATGAAGCCGAACCAAGAAAAGGTTACCCTGAACATCGGGGGAATTCGATACGAGACCTACATGAACACCCTCAGGGCCCTTCCGGGGACCAAGCTCTGCCGCCTGACGGAGCCCCAAGCCAGCCACACCTTTGACTACGACCCCGACTCCAAAGAGTTCTTCTTCGACAGAAACGCTGCTCTCTTCGAGGAAGTGCTGAACTATTACCGGACCCAACGCCTCCACTGCCCCGCTGCCATCTGCAGGTCCGTCCTTGAGGAGGAGCTGGCGTTCTGGGAGATCCCCCACGTGTCCCTGGCCCCCTGCTGTGGCTGGAGGCTGACGGCCGCTGAGGAGCAACAGGGAGCGTGCAACCTCTGGGATGACGAGGAGAGGCAGAACGAGGGGCAGGACCTCGGGGTCCAGAGGGAAGGGGGCCATGCCGGCTGGAGGACCCGATGGCAGCCCCAAATTTGGCCACTCTTTGAAAATCCCCGTTCCAGCTTAGGTGCAAAGGTAACTAGAAGGGGTGCTTTAAAATGGGGGGGCGGGCAGAGTCCCGGGCCAGACTTTCAGCCTGTAAGGACCAGCTGATGGCAGGAGGCTACCCATGTTGCTGACATCATAGATATAGATATGCCCATTTCCTTGGCTGCTGTGCCAGCTAGGCTTTCAACCTGCAGACCCAGCATTGCTGCATCTTCAGCTTTGCTCTACTGGGTGACCCGAAAGGGAAATACAGAGATCTGTAGCTCTTTCCTGCACAGGGATGTCTTTCCTGAGGGAAAAGGCGATGGGAGCAAAGCCGGATCCGTGCTCATCACGTCAAGCCAGACGTGATGAGAGTCCACAACTCCCCTCTTTCAAAGGAACAGTGTGGGATTATTCCCTGTCTCCTCACCACCACTCCGGTTGGCTTGGGGCATGGCCGGGTGGGGTGCCCCCAGTGGGTGGCCATTTGGCAAAAACGAAGGGCATCTAATCTCCAGAAGCTGGGGGGAGGCACACATGCCCATCTCTAAGTGTTCAGGAACACTCCCATATCCCACCCCTCCATTTATGAACTTTCAGAATCGCTGATTCTTTTTTTTTCCAGGGCTAGCACCCGTGTGCCCTGTAGTGTCCATTTTTTAAAAATTAAACATTTTGGGTGATGTAGGGGATCTTGGAAAGGACATATTACCCACATGTAAGGGGGGGTGGGGGGGGAAGGAGAGTTTCTACTATGGTGTCAAGTCAGGCTTAAGTTGCACCAGCAACTCGACTTGGTTTTTTCCCCCAATGACTTGGGCTCAACTTGCGATTCGGAACCCACCCACCCCTTCCCTTTTTTCTGGGGGGAAAATAGTTTTTAATAAAGACACAGGCTTGGGGCTTGGGACTCAAGACTTGATAACCAAAGACTCAAACTTAGGACTTGCCAAAGACTTGGCCAACATCCCAGGTTTCTAGCACAGTGTTCTGGTCCCAGAACTGCTCTCTTGACAACCACTGTTTTTCTCTCCCCCCAGTGCTTGGCCACTGTTTCCCTGCTTTTCAACATCAGCATATGCATCCTTTTCCTGTGGAAGATCAACTACTCCATCTACCAGTTTTTCCCACCCCACTCGTTTGGATCCAATAACAGAAGTTCCACTTACAATCACCCTGAAAACACACTTCACGAGAGGTTCCCCAAGCATCTCTACCTGGAGCTTTTCCACGTCCTCTGGTTCATTGTTGAATTTTTCATGCGATTCACGTTCTGCCCAATGAGAAAGAAATTCCTTAAGAGCCCTCTCAATGTGACCGACTTCCTTTCTCTCTTTCCTGTATTCATTGAACTCTTCTCACATGGACATGTCAGCAAGAACGAGAATCTAGAGTATTTCTTTGGCTTTTTCCGGATGGTCTACCTCTTCAAACTCCTGAAGATGATCAAGCTTGTAGAGACCCCTCTGATGTTCAAGATCCTGTCCTACACCTCCAGGTGTCTCTTGAGGGAGTTCCTCATTCTTATCATGATATTTGTCTTGGAAGCGCTTTTCTTCGGTGCCCTCTGTTACTGCTCTGAAACCATCTTTTTCGGGCATATCGAATCCTATTTTTGGGACATGCCCTCTTCCTTTTGGTGGGCGGTGATCACCCTGACCACCGTAGGCTACGGTGACATCGTCCCTGTGACTTCCATCAGCAGAGTGATAGGCGCCTGCACAGCGCTATGCGGAGTGCTGACCCTTATTGTCCCGATCCCCATCTTTGTCATCAAGTTCAAGGGCTATTATGACACAGCTGTTCTCAGGGAGAAGATGAAGAGGCTGAGGAAACAGACACCATCTCCATCATCCTGAGAACTTGCCCAGGGCCCACAGCTTCCAGTCATTCACTCAAAGAGGCTCATAATGTGCTTCCTCAACAGCTTGCTCCATGTTAAAGAAGCTTCTGCATCCTTCTTGATGCAAGCTGCATCTTTGAACCGTCAATCCCTCTCCATCTTTTGCTTTGGCTGACTTGCATGCTACGTGGACACCACCAGGTTCATACAGACCCACCGTGCCAGAGGCCCGTATGATCTATGTTCCCATGATGGTTCTGGTCACCCAAGCCTTCTGTAAGACTGTTCTCTTTGTGACAGGAGTCTAGCACTGTCTCAGAGGCTCAGAACCCAACAAAAGAGACACCGGGCTCAAGTAGCACTGGAAGGTGAAAGACCACAAACTCCAGAGAATCCACAATCCCCATGCCTGAGAGCCGTACCAGCAATCCCTAAAATATGGCTCCGGCACGGAACACCACCCTCTTCTCAAAGAGACCCATGAGCCCCGGAGAAGATACATCAACATAATCAGCCTCCCTGGGATGACTCTCTGGAGAGACGAAGACGTGAAGGTTCTTCTTAGCAAGCTGTAGGCAATAGCTAACAACAGTGACCCAAAGAATCGTATCTCAGTGATGTATTTGAAAAGGTACAAACTATTTTCCCTTTTAAAAAAAAGTCCACAGTGTCAAGCAACATAAGCAAAACACAACCAGTATAGCAATATAAATATATTTTAAAAATAATAAATAATGTTAATTAATTAACTAAGTTAACTATCTAACTAACTAAAACTGTAGGCGAATCAAAAGGGCAACGACAGACACAGTTCCCATGTATTGAAATTGCACTGATTGAAACCAACTCCTTCCTCATCTGGAAACCCAGACAGACGCATATACATCTCAGTAGAGGTGGGGGGAAATATCGCCCCCCCAACAGGTGCAGATAATGAGGGTCCGGCCCCCTGGGGCAAGACCGGCCACTCACGATTCCGCCGCTGCTGCAAGCTCCGCCCAACTTTCCTATCATTCCAGAGCTCGCGATTGCTCATCATCCCATCTTCTGCCAGGAGTGGCTAATCCATCTCGAGCTCCGGAGTGATAGGAACAGCATGTATATAGACTTCGTATATATTTGCATATGAAGACCCCCATCTCTACACCTCAGCCATTCCAAAGTCAAGCACAACAAGAGCAAACTCACTGAATCACCTCTTCAGAGTCAACAGTTATAGAAATCCCATAGATTCAATGGGCCTGCTTGAAGTGTTGAAGTTTAATCAGTCAAAGCTTATGCCCAAAGGGAGATGCTGTAAAAATAAAACAGAACAAGCTAAGATTGATGTAACATGCAGTTTGACCCTCCTCCCCCCCCCACCCCAGAATTTTAAGTCTACTGAGAGGATGAAATAGGCAGACACGTCCCTCCATTTTGGAGCTGTGGCATTTAAGAGAAGATTGCCGACGACTGAAGGGTAAAATACGGATTTTGATGGAACTGTATGACGTGACGTATGTTCTATTTTACTTTACTCCTACACTTTATTAAACAGAAAATTCTGTTGTACTAGCAAATGTCTGTTTTTAATTTCGGCTTCACATCTCTCAGGCAGGAGTGCTAACTGTGCAAAGGCAGCTAGCGTTCTGCTAGGCAAAAACAGCCACCCAAGGGACTCCTAAGCAGCCCTGGCGGAGGGGGTGGGGGAGGACTCCTATGCCACGGTCATCTACATACATATTTATAAATGGGTCCGTTCAATTCAATTGCACACCAGCCGTTCTGTTCATAGTCGAAACTCAAGCACGCCTTGACAAGGTCATGGAATCCCAAAATTTCCTTTGTCATCCTGTATCTCCTCACCTTGCTGCTTGAGTGGTTATCATTATATAAGAATACAGTAATCACTATTGTCTTAGAACTGCATCATCATTGAGAACAGTCCCTTGTCGAACTCCCAGCCAGATGCCTCAACCACTGCATATCTCCTCACCTTGCTGCTTGAGTGGTTACCATTATATAAGAATAACCACTATTGTCTTAGAACCGCATCATCATGGAGACCAGTCCCTTGTTGAACTCCCAGTCAGGTACCTCAACCACTGCGCTATCCAGCAGGACCCAAACAGGGTGGGTTCCCAACTTTAGGGCAGAATTCCTGTGTGATTTTGATAGCACACTTGGTGTCAAATCTGGGGTCCCCCCCCATGTTTGCATGACTGTCCATTGACCAAGTGGATGGGCAAGAGGAGGAAACCATCAGGATTTGGCCCTCAGTGTTATAGGGCATTTTTGCCACAGATTCTTCAAGACGTGTGTATGACCTCTGTGGATTTCTGAACGTTGCCTACCCAGCAGCATTTCTCATGCAAACGATCCTTCTGGTAAAGGCTGCTCTTAAGTCATATCAGGAACATGGAGTAATCCAGATCCAGAGCTCTGTGTGTGAAAACATCTGCCCATCCTTACCAGACGCAAATTAAATGTCTTGGAGAGGCCCGTTTCAGTTGAAAAGACAAGTTTGAAACAATTTGTTCTTAGATATTTTTTTTCCCTATGTTACACAATGCTTCTATTTTAAATGGAGCCAAGAGGGTTTGAACTCTGAGACGGTTCAAGACTCCACACTCTTTGAGGGGCCCTGCTGGAAAGGGAGACTGGGGTTGGGGGCTGGAGGGGGCGTTGCCTTGCTTTCTGATTTTCCCCGAAAGAACAGCCCTCTTTCAGAGGAGGGGAAGAACAGGAACGGCCAGGGATGAAATGTCCTTTTTATTGGGTGGGCTGGCTTTGCTTTCTGGCATCCAAGAGGTCTAACCTTGGAACGGCACCGTCCGACATCCTGTTTTCACGCAGCTCGCTCCAGCCCTTGCAACCTTCTCCTCCTGCGTCCTTCTGTTCCCTCTCTCTCTCTCCAGCCACCCTCAGCTGCCTCAACAGAGGGAAGGTAAGGATCGGCTCAGCGGCTTTTTCTCTGAGACTCAACACTGTGAGGGATCTGCAGCGGCAGGATTTCTGGAAAGGCGACAGACGTGGGGAGGAACAGGAGGGTACTGGGTTCAATGCTCTAGTGGGGAGGAGAGAGAGGCTAGAATGGCACAGCAAATGGGCAGGGCCTTTACTGTTTCAGGAACACAGGAAGACTTGTTGGCCAACTGCAGGACCATCATTTTGGGCGGTGTCGTAGAGATGGTCACAAACTGTTGGGTTGTCCGTTCCTGCCGGTTCGTTTAGTGGCCGAACAGAGGGTTGGCACTTCCCAGCTGTGCCTCCTTTGGCCGGTGCGCACTTCGAGGTAGTGTCCCAGGTGCCAAACAAACACCTGTTCGACGAATAAATGAACCACCGCGATCACCAAACTTGCAGTTCTCTAGAGGTGTGTATGTGCCCAGGAGGTGCAAGCCAACTAAAACTTCTCTTTGCAGGTACAGTGAAAAGGTATGTGTACAACTCTGCCAATTCTTTGGGGCAGGAGTGTGATGTTTTGATGCAGAAACTGCTTTTTCCCATCACATCCATTTCACTACACAGAGATAGGTCTGAGCATGTAATTAGAGCTGCAACTTTTCATCACATCCATTTCACTACACAGAGATAGGACTGAGCATGTAATTCGAGCTGCAACTTTTCTTTCTTTTACTGTGTAATGAGAGAGGATAGTGAAATTACATTGTAACTTTTTCATTGTGGAACGAGAGAGGATCATGAAGTCACATTTCAAAAGTAGCATATGAAGTAGGATCAAAGTTCCTTTATTCATGTCATGAGTAACATTGTCTACCTACTTTCAAACATTACCTCTGGAGACATTTTGATAGAAAATGTTCAAGTTCAGTTATTTTAAGAAGCTAACAGAAAGTAATGGGAAAATAAAGAGCTTCCTCTCCCATAAGATGAAATGGGTGATGTCAATGGCTTCATTTTCAAGCACTTGAATGAGGAATGCGAACAAGTTACTTTTGAAAATTAACAGTTGGCGTTCCACATTTAATACAATGGCAACTGTTCTCTCATCTCTAAAGGCTTGTAGCAACAGGGTGTGTCTGTGTGTTTCCGTATTGTGTAGTGAAATTGTTGGCAGTCAAGCAAAAGGTGCACAGTTACATTGAGCTGGCATTAAACACCATGTGGATGGAAATGTGACAAAAACTTGTATGGGAAACCCCCCAGACCAGCAGCAACGTGTGTGTGTGTGTGTGTGTGTGTGTGTGTGTGTGTGTGTGAGGGAGGGGGGGAGGGAGGGAGCGAATCTCCATGAAGTTCTCCAACCAGCTGATGCCTCAAAATCTGTCCAAAAGATGATGGAAAGGCTCAGGCACCTTCGCTCCTTGTCTCGCTTCCTCCAGGTCACCCAGGCTGGCCAGCTGCACCCTCGGCTCCCCTGAAAAGATGGAGGAGGGATCCCCAGAAAAGATCGTCTTGAACCTCGGAGGGGTCCGGTTCGAGACCTACCGCAGCACCCTGACGGCCTTCCCGGGAACCAAGCTGTGCAGCCTGACGGAGCCCCAGGCCTTGGAGAATTTCGACTATGACCCCAGAACGAAGGAGTTCTTCTTTGACCGAAGCGCCAGGCTCTTTGGGCAGGTCTTGAGCTACTACCGGTCGGGGCACCTCCACTGTCCTGCGGACGCCTGCAGGTCGGCCTTTGAGGAGGAGCTGGCCTTCTGGGAAGTCCCCCTCGGCCAGCTGCCGCCCTGTTGCTGGACAAAGCTGGGTGAACTTGAAGGCCCGCTGGAGGAGTCCAACATGGAGGACGTGGAGGACGAGGGGCACGAAGGGGACTCCCAGGTCCTGCTCGGCCAAGTGGAAAGGAGGAATGGCCAGCGAGGGGCTTGGAGGAAGCCCCAGATATGGGCTCTCCTGGAGGAGCCCTTTTCTTCTCAATGGGCCCTGGTAATGAAGGCACCCTTGTCGGATCCAAGATGGGCTCTGCAGGGCGAGGGAAGGGCTGCCAGAGTCAGGGCATTTCCATCCACCGGCTCTTATGCACCCCGGCTATCGGAGAGGCTGTGGGGTCTGCAATGCCACAACTTCGTATTTGCCCCCCGGGGCCTTCCCAGCACAGACAGGGCTGGTCCTGGGAGTGGGCTGGCCTTAGGAACTGGGAGGAGGCTGTACCTTCTCAAAGGTGGTTGGGTCACGACCCCCTGGCCATGGGTTCTGCCGGAGGGGGATGCCGGTAGTTGTCCTCCCACCTGTTTCTGGAGGATGCCCTCTCCCCAGACCAACCTAAGATCCACATTTCTTTCATTTTCAGTCTGTACTAGCAGAGGTGGGCTGGTTGTAAGCATGGGTGGCTGGGTTAGGGACTGTGGAAAGAGTCGGATACAGAGAGAGATGAGAGATGAGAGATGAGAGAGAGACCCTCGTCTTTAAGGCTAGAATGCCCAGCGGATCATTAATTATGAGAAGGTGTTGAGAGAGAGAGAGAGAGAGAGAGACCCTCGTCTTTAAGGCTGGAATGCCCAGTGGATCATTAATTATGAGAAGGTGTCGGAATATTTGGCACTGGATTCTAGGTGTAGCCCTCAAAAAGTAACTTCTCTATGTCTCTGATGATGCTATCATCCTCAGGCTTGGATCCTTGGGAGATTTAGACTGAGGGGAGGTACCAGATGGCATTGCTTGATGATTACCACCCTTTAACAGATACTCTTCTTGTCTCTTCATAGTGCCTAGCAATCATCTCCTTGTTGTTCAACATTGGGCTCATCGTCCTTTTATGCGAAGAAACCCGTGGCTTTCTACATCACATTAATGATACCACTACAGGCATTCATCCGGCAAACGTTTTACCAATAACAGAGTACCAGACCATGCCTTACCTTCTCTACCTGGAGCTTGTCATCATCATCTGGTTCACGGCTGAATTTGCTCTACGGCTCACAGTCTGTCCAGACAAAAAGAGGTTCCCCAGGAAGCCTCTCAACTGGGTGGACTTCCTCTCCTTGTTCCCAGTGTACATCCAACTCTTTGTACGGAGTAGTTCGTACACGGAGCACAACCTGGCCGTCTGGCTTGACTTCTTCCGCCTGCTCTACATCCTTAAGCTGCTGAAGGTCTTCCGGCTGGTGGAGACCCCTCTGATGCTGAGAGTCCTGCCCTACATGTTCCGGTCTCTTTTGAGGGAGACCCTCGTCCTCATGACGATTCTTGTCTTTGAAATCATCTTCTTGGGTGTCCTCTTTTATTACGTAGAGAGGTTTGAAGACCTACCTTCCTGTCTCTGGTGGGCAGTGGTCACCTTGACCACGGTGGGCTACGGAGACATCCACCCCATCAGTCCCTTGGGCCAAGCGGTTGCCACCTGCACAGCACTCTGTGGAGTGATGACCATCATCCTCCCCATCCCCATCCTCTCCATCAAGTTCAAGGGCTACTACGACGCGGCTGTGGTCAAAGAGAAGATGAAGCGGAGAAAGGAGCCAACGTCCTGAGAAGGCAGGGGCCCCATGTTTCCAACTCTTTCTGGGGAAAGGAGTAAAGGTAAAGGTAAAGGTTCCCCTTGACAATTTTTGTCCAGTCGTGTCCAAGTTCAAGGGCTACTACGACGCGGCTGTGGTCAAAGAGAAGATGAAGCGGAGAAAGGAGCCAACGTCCTGAGAAGGCCGGGGCCCCATGTTTCCACCTCTTCCTGGGGAAAGGAGACCCACTTCCAAATGGCTCGCCTTCCCTTGGATAAGGGTCAGTGGCCTTCACAATGCAAGCCGGCTCTTCCCGCCAACCAAGCCTTTGAGCATCATGCCACGACGCGGAATGTATCATCTCACCTTTCTGTGCTTTGCAGACGGAGGGACATAATCTGCAGTCTTTCTCTCTATGCAAGTGGGGGCTCTTGGAGCCTCCACCCCACCCCCCGCCAAGTGTGCACCACCCTTGTTGTGACAGTCTGGGGGGGGGGACTGAATTCACACACACCCAGTGCAGCACAGCAGCTGTTGTCAAGCCCTCCCAAGCCCAAAGCTCCTGAGGTGTGTGGGGGGGGGGTCAAGGGAAGCCACGGCAAGCTGGCTGATGATGACTTTGATCTTCAGGTTTAACCACCACAAACAAATCCCAATTAAAAGGTGTGTAGTCCTTGTGGATCTGCAGTGGCAAAAAAAAAACCCTGCCAACAAACTCCAAAGAGGGACAGTAGAAAAAAGGTTAACGCTTGTGAAAAGTAGAAAACTCCTGATTAAACACTTCCAGCCTGTATTAAACCCCCCTCCTTTTTTTTCCTCATGATTGTTGTGACCACTTTCCCCCAGCAGATGGCGCTCTCCAACAGCGCAAGCAAGATCCTAAGAGCTCTGGGGACTGAAACCCAGGCCAGAAACAAGCATGAGGAGCAGCCTGGATCTTGTCCTTGGGGAGAGAGTCCCTTCCAGGTGTCCCTTCTCACTGCTTCCACTCTCTGGGCGAATTACACCCTCCCCAGGCAACCACAGGGTGCCTCGCTGGCCCATTGGCTTTACCCCCTAGCCACCTCTTCTTGAGGCCGCTCAAAACTTGTTCGGTGTGGGGGGGGGGGGGTTGCCTCTTGATCCCTGCCCTCCAGACGGTGCCTTCTCTGCCCCAGTTGAGACTGCTCTTGCTCTGTTTCCAACTGAAAAGGTCTTCTTTCCATACATATGATTGGCATCCTCATCATCACCACTGCCATCTTAGAACTGGAGAGCTGGTGAGGGGGGGCGGAAAGACCCTATGGACCATCTCCTATGGGAACCCTCTCTCCCTAGAAGCCACCTCCATGCGGATTTCCCTCCGGGGGGGGGGGGGCGGAAAGACCCTATGGATCATCTCCTCTGCGAACCCTCTCTCCCTGGAAGCCACCTCCATGCGGAGGAGCTGTGTTGCATATTCAGAGAGCTTTCTTTCCAAAGGAAACTCTGTTGCCCAATTCCATTACCGACACTTTGTGACCATGTTGGACTTGTTTTAACATTGTTGCCTGTTGTTTACTTCCTTTGAGGATTATTGTTTTGATGATATGTGTGTGAGAGAGAGAGAGATAGAGAAACAGAGAGAGATTTGTGGAAGGACAATATATATATGGCATCTACAATGACATAAAACCGATTCATGCATTCAAACGGCGTATTCCAAGTTGCACTCAAGAACATTTTAAAACATTTTAACTTTGGCCAGCTCGTCCAAACTGGCCAGCTGAAGAACCGATGGGAGCATCAGCCTTTCATCACTGTCCATTTTAATTGTGTTTTTAATAGTTAAGCTATTTTAATTTAGTTCGGTTTTAAGCGACCTCTGACTGTGCTATGTCTTTTGTCTTTTTATGTTACCGCTTTTGTTACTGTGAACTGCCCAGTGGGACCTTTTGTCTGGCGGGGGGGGGGTATCAAAATCAAATCAATGAATGAATAAATAAAAACTCAAGTCAACTGTATGAAATACTCCAGTGAATAAATATAAAAAATATGCTGAAAAATAAAAATGACACTCAGATAAGAACAGAAGCACAAAGAAGCCGCACTGTCCGGTACTTACCCCTGCAAAACCCCTGATGAAAATAAAACATCCTACGTGGGGGGGTTGAGGACCTTGGCTTCCATAAACTTCTGCCTGTCAGCACATTCTAAAAAGAAGCAGAAAGCGGTCCTTCCCCTTGGTGAGCCCGGGTGGCTGTCTTGATCTGCTAGAGCAAGCACGCGCCAAGAGTTCTGTCGGGTCAGGAAGAGGAACCATTGTTGAGGACTAGGTGCCTCCACGATCCGAGGAGGTGGACCGGTGACTAAGGAGGAGCACTAAAACCGGTTTGTCTTCACGGGGCCACAAAACTCCATGTTGTTTCTTGCACACTGTTGAGAAAGTTATAAGCTCTTTATCTTAATATGTTTGTACAAAGAGAGGCGAGAATGTGTAAGTCCACCTAATGCAGGAGGGCCGAAGCCACGTGACGTTATTCACACTTGGCGAATAAGCATATTCGCTAAACCAATTATGGAGCCCCCCCCCTATAGTGCATGTGCCTGATTTTAAACTCTCTATACTTCTGGGCTAAAAAAAAGTCCTCCCTCCAGCTGCTCTTTGGCCCAAAGGTGACCTTCATTGGTTCCCATTCGGCTGTGCCATTCTGGACTGCAGATGAAGAATCACATCATGGCAATGACTGCCAGTTAATATGGGGTGCTCCCTGCACAGAGAAATATAGTCTGTTAGGAAAGGCTAAGAAAGAGACACTTCCATGAAACACTGTTTTTGCATTCATGGGGAGTTTTGGGGGAAAGTATTTCTTGGCAGGAACTTTAGGCTGCCTGGGGACACACCCACCTACCATTCCCCCCACTCCCCAACTCCATATATACCATATACAGTACAATATACGCACCATGGAGCCTTCAGGGATATAGCCAGCCTGCTATGCTCAGGAAGCGCTGTGTGGCTTAGTTTTTGCCCATTGTGTTCTTCAGCTCTTTGGGTCCAAGGGCACACACATTGCTCTCAGGTCCCAATTCTGCATGCAAGCCCAAGTTCTAACTCTGGATGGAGAACACTGGAGCATCAGAAGCTGAGTTTCACACCCTTGCACAGCATTGTAGAGTTCCAAGAAGCCACGGACCAGAGTCGTCCTTTCGTTCACCATTTTATACCACAAGTGCTAAAGGAGACACATCAAGGCTCTGCTACAAAACAGACAAGAGTCTGGACATGTTTCAGCCGACAGATGCAAATGTTAATCTGCATTTCAAGGAAGGGCTGGCAGCTGAAGGGCCCGGGGCCAACCTGGAGTGCAGTTAATTTCAGAAATGCATGTAACAGGTATGAATTCACACTGCATTTCTCTTGCAAATGTGCAAATTTAAATTGCAAGAAATAGATAAAATCATTTGTGTCACTCCTCTTTGCTTCAGGTCTTTGTAAAATGAACTGCATTACAATTTCACTTAGATCTTAAAAATGCCTTCCCTTCTGGGCTAAGTCCTCTTCAGTCCTGCTTTTTCTTTATCTATTTGACAGGGGTCTGGTTCATTGCCACTGGGGTGTCTGAGGACACCAAAGCAACTTAAGAGAGACTGAGGCAGATGCCAGTTGAAGTGCGGGGAGGAAGGGGGGGAGACCCTACTTAACACTGAATCCTAGGGTAGGAACAAGGACCTAAAAGTTCCCTAAAGAAGGACCACCATCACTGAAAGCTGACCAACGGAGGTGGATCTCAGCCGTATCCCCTTTGCCCAGACAGGACCTCTCACTCCTTGAGTCCTGGCTAAGTCTCCCGAGCTCCCAACTTCCCACTCCTCGGATTTTGTCAAACTAGAGGCCAAGGGGGGGTGTGGATCCTTAGAGCATCATAACAAATGGGTTGTGTGACCTCATTAAGATGGAACGGGCCAGAAGAGAGAGGAACTCCAGCAGAACACCTCTCCGTTCAGCAGAAAGAAGTGGATGAGCAGATCCACCTCAGATCTGTAACATCTAATTTCACTTTCCTTCAGTGGTTTTCCCACTGATATTTATCCCCCCCCACCTAGAAACTCTGCTGTTTCCTGAGACTTCAGCCTGCAGCCCCCAAGACCCACCACTGTCGCCTTCTGGAGGTGCACCTCCACTCCCCCGTCACAGCAGGGAAGGCTCAGAAGGCCACCAAATTCTCCGTCCCAGGATAAGGTTGCCTGAAGACACAAGCAGTTCAGAGGAGGGAGGTGGGCAAGCCTTTGGGTCGGAATCCCAAGTCAAGTCACCGGAAGGACTTAAGTCTGACTTGACCACTGCGAGTTAAGTGACTCAAGTCCCCCTCCCTGGTTCAGAGTTGGTGTCAAACAGCTGGAAGTGCTTGCATCGCTGGCTGGGCTGAAAAAAGAGCAGAGCCCTCTCTCCCTCTACAGCTGCTGCTCCTCCTCCTCCTCCTTTTCCAGCTGTGGTGTTCCAGCACTTCACTGAAGCCAACTCAGCCGCCTCCCTTTAGGAAAAACCAGAGCCGTTTTTCCCGTTTGTGGGATTGTGGGCGTGCCAGGAAGGAGAAAGCCCTGGCAACCCTGATTTTTTTTCCTTTCTTCATTTCATGTCTTGGTGGCTGGGATTGGCTGAGCCTCCACTGCCATATAGGGTCGAAAATCCCCTCCGTTTCCACTTCTCCGGGCGGTCTGGGAAGGCCGCCTTTTCTCTCCTCCTGAAATGATGTCATGGCACATTTTAAACTACAATAACAGGAAATCATCGAGTGTTTACACTGACAGACAACTTGCAGGGAGGGGGGGCGAGGGAGGACTGTGATGTGGTGGCCCCCCCTCCCCACCCGCCCAGCTTCCTTGGCATATCTGTTTCCTCCGATTAAATTATTACAGGGGGCAACACAGGAGGAGGACAGAGGAAAGGGAGTGGGAACACACAGGCGCATGCTTGGAAGCAAGAACACGGATCCTGACGCTGGCTTGACAGTGGGAGGGAGCCCTGCTTTTCTCAGCAGCCTCTGGTTGGGGGGGGGCAGAGATCAGAACGTGAAAGGGTTCAAACAATGGCCACCCCCAGGATGAGTGAATGAATGGCTACGGACTCTGTGGCCTTTTCCTTTTCAGCCTCTGGTTGCAATGAGTTTCCAGTGGGAATGGCCGAGCTTCAGACATGACTTTGCAAAGGAAATCAGTCAGTTGCCCTTTAAGGTCCTCACAAATTAGCCCCTGACTATTTCAGTCACATTTTAAAAAAATAATAATAATAATTAACACAGGACCTATCAGGAAGTGAGGCACAAACACAGAGACATGTATCTTGATCACAATTCTCATCCTCTTAAATCTCTCTCTCATACACACACGTCAAAAAAAAAAACCAAAAAAAACACAGACATTTCCACCTCTCGTCCCTTTCTGTTTTAACTTTCATTTCTGGCTTTTTTTTAAAAAAGTAAATAAATAAAATGTGCAAAGCTTTCCACTGGGTTGAATTTCATCTTGCAGACCTTTACGGCCTGTAATTCTACCCCTTCCGATCATCACCCTGTAGACACACACCTTGCTACTTCAGAAGATGGGTCGCCGACTTTAAAGTCCCTCTCAAGCCCAGTGGTAGCCTGGCCACTGAGGAGTTAAGTTTAAAACCTATGCTTTTGATCTCAATTAAGTTATTGTTCTGTGTAATTTAACTGAGGGATGACTCCCATGATTTTATGGACATATTTGTTTTTAAGGGTGTCACTAGCAGCCTCGAGCAGTATTTTTAGTGGAAAGGGAAAATAAAAAGGGAAATTCTCCCCCCCCCTTTAAAATAATAATGATGCTACAGTCCTTTGGGGCTTGTTTATGAATTAAGCCAGAAAAGTAGCCCCATTCCCTAGGTAAAAGCTGCCACCTTATCCAGCCCGGGGAAGGGCTTATCTGGAGAGAGTCTGGCAGGTTGCTCTCTGGCTGTGATAACGGGCCCTTCTCTGCCGGCTGTAAAACTGGCAATATAATTATGAATTGATAACGTGGGTCACTTCCCGACATGTTCCACCGCCCAGGTGCTGAGTTTACACGGCAAGCGGGTTCTGCCTATTTAAACACTAAAGGAGTGGTCTCACAACTTCCTGCCCACCTTGGTACTTTTTCCTTCTGTTATTCCAGAAGGAGAGATTAGGTCTCATTAACCATATGCAGCAACGTCTCCTTACAAGTAGAAAACCGTTGCTTTCTATTTCGCGCTTATTCATTTACTATATGTCTGGGGCTTTCCCTCTCCTTCCTAAACCTCCCCTCTTTGCTATCTATGTGAAACCTCCCCCCCCAAAATACATACATTGCCTAATGGGGTGCTATTTAAGTATTGGACCAAAGTCAGATGTTGGGGGCTTGCTGATCTAGACATCACTGTGGAGTGGGGGGCCAGGGACCTCTCATTTTACTTCTCATCATGCCCCCAAAGCTCCTTGTCACTCTGGACACATCTGGAGTCTTTCATGGTGACCTGGTTTTTATTCACTGACCTCAGGACTTCTTTGCTGGGCCCACTCCCTGATCTTGGACATTCTCAGCCCCCTCCCATGAACCGGCCCGCCAAAGGCATCTGCCTCTTTCTGCTACCGCTGTTGCTAGAAACCCTGATTCCGTGCCTTACGGGGACATCAAGGATGCACCTGAAGAAGAGAGCTGACCGAGCTAGGCCAGAAAGTCTTCCCACGTCACACACACACCCAAGCCTCCCACCCCCTACATAAAAAACACAAAATCTGAACATAGGAGAAACTAGGATCGCTTTCCTGCAGCCTTTTGCGGATTAACTATCAGTTTGGCTTCCTCTGTGCAGGTGGACTCACACACGAATAAGGAAAGGATCTGACCCACAGGCAGGTCGGCGGCTGCCTCTCCCGGTTGTGCTTGAGGACTAGGCTTCGTCCGGCTACTCCTGTCCCCATCATCCCACTTTCCCACCACATCTGGACCAAACTTGAAAACAAGAGGGCTGTATGCCCCTCAGCTAAGGCTCCTCCATAGGGCCCGGAAGAAGGTTGCATTTCCTGCACCCCCCTGTGGAGCAGTTGGTTCTCTGCATTTCCCCATTCATGCTGCACATCATTACATCACAGAAACTGACGCTGCATCTTTCAGAGTGAGCATTTTTGCAGCGCCTGAAATGCCGCCACCACCATGGCCTTTTCTGGAGTGAATGTGGCACACCCACAGAGGGAGAGCCTCCGACGCACTCTTCCTCTGCCCCAACCTGTCTGTCCCCTTACTTGCTTTCCTGTCTCTATCTGGCGTGGGAGTGACGTCTCCTCTCTTCACCGCAGGTAGGATTTTCATATATATATATTTCCTGCCCTGCCTTTGGAGAAATGTGTGCATTTTGCCAAATGATTTCAAAACAAATGAATTAAAATTAAAAAAAAAATCCTCCCCTCTCTCTAACTGCAGTGGCAAGCAAAGGGAGCTTCTATACTACTACCCAAGAACGATATGCTCTCTCAGCTGGAGAAAAAGGTGGCTTTCTTTGGCAGGATCAAGCCCAGCCTGGATGCCTTTCATTCCATAAGGCCAGCTAGGTCTTCTCTTCCCATTGTTCTCTGCTGCCACTCACAGGAGAGCCTCCCTTCCGTCTCTTCTTGGCGGGTATCGGCATTTCTTATCTCTGTTTAGATGGCCGCAGGGCACCGTCCTTTACTACATTATCAACAACTCTGATTGTGGCATAATCTTGAGCAAATAAGTGTGGTGCTGGAACAGAAGGAGAGTCAACAAACAAAGGATAATAGCCTGTGATTTCAGTTCTCCGCTCTGTTGATTTTCCCCAACCGCAGCCAAACAGGAAAAAAAGCATTCCAGAGGTATATATTCTCACTGATCACTTGCTCCCAGCAAAGATATTGCAAGCACTGTTCCTAAATTAGTGCAAAACCAGTCGTGCCAAGGCTGGTTCACAAGACTTTCCTCTCTTTTCTGGGAGAAACAGATGATGCCTCCCTGCTGGCCCGCCCATCCCCCAATGAGGCCAACATGGGCACCATAGGAATAAGGCGAGCCTGCCTCAACAGCTTCTTAGAGATGTTTCTTACTCCCAAGGAGAGCAGACGTCAGGGTGGCAGGATCTAGTTTGTGGCTGGCATCTTTTAATTAGCATTCCAAGTTCTACCAAGAGGGGAGACAACGTTATGTCTGCACATCTCAACAAGCCATGGATTGTGTTAGCTGTGATTTGTTATTCAGCCATGAACTGCTCTGCAGACCTCCAAGTGTTTTCCCCATTCCTGGTCTGTTTTTCCAACCACTTTTAGCCTCCCTTGATTCAGGTAAAACAAGCCAGGAACAAGCTCTTGTCTTTTGCTTAAACATAACAACAACAAGCCATAGTTCAAATAAGCCATAGTTGTTGGACTAGCAACAAACCATGGCTTCTAACTGTGTTTAACCACAAACCATGGTTTGTTTGGGGAGAAAAATGTAGGTACAACAAGCAAGAATTCTTCAGTCAAGAATTCAGTGTCAACAGGGTCAAACTGTTGCTGATTATTTATAAAATTTAATGTAATAAAACTCAAAATGAAGATGTCCTAAAGTCACTTCCTTAAAGTAAATAATGTAACATGCAACAAACACTTAAAATTGGTTTCAAGAATTCATGTTGTACTCTAAGTTTGCTTAGTTCTGAATTGTAGTTACAGGCAACTACTGTATTTTAAAAAAAAGATACAAGTTTATGAAAAGTGAATTTGCCACAGCCTGCCAAGAATTGCCTCGGCTGATAGTGACTAAGAATGACTACAATGAATGAATGAATACCAAGAAGTCAAAATGCAGAAAGTCCCATTATGGAAAACCCTTATGTGACCAAACAGACAAATGTTTGTAACTGATAAATATGGGGAAAGCCCAGGTAAGAGAAGAAATCACTATATAAAGAACCTGGGGAGGATGGTTTGGATGTAACACAATACCGCCGTTTGCAGATACCACATGCAAAGTCAGAATCAGAATATCAAACCTGCGGTAAGAGAAGAACAGAAACCTCAGCTTGAGGCTAACATTATGTTGCGCCTCTTTTCAATGTGTTTTAACAGTTTTAAGCAACTATGATGGGGAGTTCTGTTTGGACAGCCTGCTTTCTTTCTGCCACAAACACCCCTGCTGTCAAATGAGAATAGCATATGTCACAGATTGATTCAGAAAGCACTCCAGGTCATTAAAGACTTGTTATAAATAATGCATAAAGGTGGAGGATGCTCTGATTTAGTGCTCCACCCCAATCCGTTTCTCGATAAATGTGAATTAGTGCCAGCAGCAGTCTGTTTAATCTCTCATTCATAATGGTGATGATTTAGATCACCCCATACAATCTAATGCATGGTCTATTGCCCCACAGGGTCCAGGGCGGCAGTTGCCAGCTGGTCTTTCCTGCCTCTGTAATATCAGGATGAAGCCATCGGAGCTGCGTCTCGGACAGGATGGGACTTTCATCTGTTAATGCATTTCAGCTTCCTGCAAGATGGGGTCTTGGATCTCTTGCCTGTGCTTTAAAAAAATGCTCTAAGAAATTTTGTTTCTTTTCTTCACTGAAAGCCAGGGGCAACTCCCATGTTATTTTTAACTTTTCAAAAATAGGCTCAAACAAAATGAATATAGGAATGACGTGGATGGAAAGAAAATCGGTTTTGTGTGCTGCTTTGAGAGACAACCTACAAATATGTGATGCCTTATTTAAAAAAAGGGGGGGGGAGGAAAATCAACCCCAGGTGGACCACGGTGATCTAATATCTGACCTATATATATTTTCACACGACTCCAGCAGTGTCATGTTGCAAGAAAGGTCTCTTGTCTTGCATTAAAAAAAACTGTTGCTCAGCCGTAACATTCAAAAATTTGTCTTGGATTAATCATCCTCTCCTGCAGCTCAGCTTACCTTATAAGGCTGTTGTGAATAAAATGGAGATGCCTTTCTTTTCTTCCTCCCTGGAGAAAAAAATGGGTTTGGGGTGAAAAGTAATCCCATTTTAAATAGAATTCCTGATGGGGCACTGAAAAAGATCACACACAATATGAATGAAGGGATCATTGAGCGCATGGGTTATACTATGACAATATAATAACGGCCTCTTATCAATGGCAAAGCTGGCACAGTTCCATCCATGCAGGCTGTCTCCAGCAGGGAAATTTAATCATTTTTGCCCGCTAAACCATCTGAAAACAGATTTTTAAGTTTCACATAGATGGCACTGTTTTAAAACCATGTCACCTTGTTGAAAGTGGCTTCTGTGGTACTTCTGTGTGGGAAATCATGAGGAAGTGGACTGGTCCATGAAAGTTCAAAGTAAAATACAACAGTTAGTCATTAAAGTGTCACAACTTTCTTCTTAATTTTTTATTTTAGTTTTGTCTGATGGGATATAAATCAATGAATCCATCAGTCTATTTGCAAGAGCTCAATCGGAGGGACTCTTTCTCCGCCTCTCTGTATCTGCTTTGCTCTTCTCAAGACTTAACATAAGGCTTATGTTTTTTAGTAAGGTCTTTGTTTGAGCCTTTTTAAATAATTTGTATACCCACTGTTGTTAGCTGTCATATTGTCTTTTAAAGATGTAAGCCGCCATAAGTCTTTGGGAGCAGAAAGGCAGAGTAAAACTTAATTTAAATGAACAAATAAAGAGTGTGATTTCATGGACGGCTGGGGAAAACTGGAAGCCATTCACCTGTTTCTTCTCCACAGAGAGCTGAAACTAAGCTGCTGATTTATTTATTTATTTATTTTTTAATGACTAAAGAGACAGGAATGTCGCTGATCCTCTCTGGCAGAACCTAAATGGCTCATCAATAGATCTACATTCAAAGACCCGTGCCTTAAAAGCCCCTTGTTCGAAGACTTCCCCCTGATCTGCTTTCTTCAGAGCTACGGCTCAAGGAGGCCTCGGCCAGCCTCATGGGATACACCCCAAGTGGAGGAAGAGGACGCGATGGATCTCACCACAGGCTGTGCTGGCAGAAGAACTCAGCAAATGCAGCCCACCTTGAGGAATTTCTTCGGTGAAGACCAGACCTGGCGAGAGAGAACCGGGAAGTCACTGGCACAAGCCAGTATCTCCCTTCTTTTGGCCGATGCCTAAGAGGCATGGCAGCTACGGTAGTAACACAGCCAGGCACGACGGGGAGGCTGACCTTTGGCGCGGACATTGCTCTGTCCAAGCAATGAAACATCTTGGGGGGCGTCCTTGTGATGGCACGAGTTTTCGAGTGCATCGGACAGAACTCACAAGACGTAAACGTTGGGGTCAAATGGAGATCAGTCAAGGGAGAGAAAAAAGCGTGCTGTGACCCTTCTATTAAAGGTGTATGGAATGATGATGATTTTAAAACTGCAGAGCTGGGAGGGATCCTGTGGATCATGGAGTCCAACTCCTGTCCAGGACGCCCAGTGGGGGACTCGGACTCCCAACCCTTTCGCTCTGCAGCCAAAGGATGTCCTGTCAAGGAGGCCCAGTGGGGGAATCGGACTCCCAACCTTTCGCTCTGCAGCCAGAGGCTTAAGCCCCTGAGCTGTCCAGTAATTCTATAAGTTTATGATAAAATAGCTCATTCTGGGAAGCGAGCAAGAAATTTTGCTTTGCTTCCAAAGTGTATTGCCATTCCTGGTGCCAGATTTCTGCACACGTTTATTCTGTGGAAAATGCAGAATCCATTTCCCAGACAATCTCCCACTGAACAAGGGCCCCCCGATATAGATAAGGCAGAGCATTTCCCTGGCAGATCACGATGTTGGCCGATCTCTGAAGATCACCCGGCAGAAGAAAGGTCCACCAGCCGAGAGAATTGTGCCTAATCCTAACCCTCCACAAGGAGCACATTGGATGAGTCAGGCTTCTAGTGTTAGCTGGGAGTAAATCCCATTGAATTCAATACACCTTCCGTCTGAATCAACCCACACAGGACTGCACTGTGGTTCTTGTGAGCACGAGATGTCCTGTGAGAGGCTGTTACAGGCATGATACAGGAGAACAACTTGCGTGACCGCGGCGGGTCAAAACCCTTGCCCCAACCCCCAGGGGTGCCAGCCCACAGCAGAGGGTTGCTCAGGGGGCAACCGGAGACCTCCCTACACGGGGATCAGGCCCATCAGCCACAGGGGGACTTATTTCCAGGCAAACATGAAAGTCCGTTGACTGGCAAATATACAGTAGGTGTCATTTCAGTCCAGGGGCCCTTTCGATCTAGAAGGGCCCTTCACGGGCCAAGCGGGGGAGGCGGCTCCGTGGCCCCTGAACCCCCGCTGGCCGAGGGGGAGGCTCTCGGCCGAGGCGGGACGGGCAGGACCAGCCATGGCGGGGGACCGGCTCTCCTCCCGGAGGGAGCCTCAGGGGCCCGGGGCGCCTTTCCGCACGGCCTAGTGGTTAGAGGGCCCCTGGAGGCGCTCCCCCTGC